TGGCTTTCAAGGTCCCTGGGAACATTCGCCCTCTCTGTCCAGGTGATAATCCAGCTTTCAATTTGAGTTGATTGAATTTTCCAAACGTGGTCCCGACGTCCACAAGCCAACAGAGGGCAGCACAAGCAAAGTCTTGAATCCGGCAACTTGGAGAATCCTCCGAACACACACTGCCGTGTGGAGAAATAATTCTTCTGTGGTGGGAACTCTTCCTATTACAGCACGACTGTCTGATAGATTGGATATAACACACATACCGTTGTGGAGCTGGAGTCCTGATCTGCATACAGTGCGTTTCTCCTGCAGCACCTGGAACAACAGCACAGGCAGTTTTGATTTCTGGTTGTCATTATAATTTGACGTATAGGGTTTCTCCAACTTAATGTGAGACTGAAGTAATGAACAGTAGCGCTGGTAGATACTCTTAAGGGTTTGTGTACTTGTGCTAATGACATTTCCCTGAAGCCTCAGTTTGGATGAAGTTCACTTCGTTATGTGGCCGACTGCGCTGTCCAACAGCAGTATGGCCACCAGATAATACATAACAGAGGCACATTAGTAGAACCTTTAGTTCTTAGAAAACTAGATGAGATGGCTTCAGAACATTTCTGCCGTGGACATGTTGAGAAGTTACCTGTTTGTACAGTGTTTGATGATGCAACACCAACCATGAGGCAATCTGTGGTGTGATATCATCAAAGTATGGAAAGACACAAGACCGGCATCCTAATAGTATAGCTACACCTTATAGTTACACCTCGGCACCTTGACGTGGTTGTCTTCAACAGCTGTATGCTACAACATCTGCATAGAACAGTCCTTGAGATCTGAAGGTCACAGTGGAGAGTTTAATATGCTGACCTGACGCAAATTTTAAACTAAATAAACCGATTTAAAATGTAGTAAAGACTCAACTAATGTCATAAATAAGATACATTCCCCGCTAATTAAAATAATCTTCATTTATCATCAATCTTCATCTTATTTAATCAAAAACGGGCCATATCTTCAAATAAAATGCTCGGGAATCCAACTCATCATATCATTAATCCGATGCGATACCAGTGTGTCTGGTCCACGCAGAGCATCGCGTGAAAACTTGTTCCCCGGCTCTTAAAATAATCATATACATATTTAAGCTTTGGCACAAAACTTTCTTTTTTCCATGATCAAGATCAAACATTAACCACATTCAGTTTTTATAACAATATGCATAGAAAAAGGCACAAATCCAAAAACAGCCACAGTCTCCGAGGTCTTAAGCATCTGGTGCCTGTTGGAAAGCAAATTAATGTTTCAGCATCATCAGAAATGCAAAAAATGGAGGTCTTTAGCCAGCAGCAAAAACATTGAACTCCCTGATGTGAACTGATTATTGAATTTTTGCAAGTCTACACCACCTTTCACCTGTCATCCTGCTCGCTTAATATGGAGTTTGTGTATTACCGCCGGTGGAGAGGAGTGAATTATTAGTTTGGAGATCTGATGCTTCTTTCTAAAAAAAAAAAAAAGGCCCACAAGTCATGCGAATATGCAGAACAACCCTTTTGTCTCAGCGTTAATTAGGTAACTTGTCATGGCAAACAAGTTTGTGTTTCATGACTGGAAACAAGGTCACATTTATTCATTCATTCGGGTCCCACCACGGCATCTTTCTCTGGTTAATCTCGAACGAGTAAAATATACATTTAAAGTCTAGATTTACTTTATTTTATTTAAGTATCCCGAAGAAGCAGATCAGCCGGTGTCACATGTTCGTAACTCTTGATCCACTGTTTCCTGGTGCTACGGAGCCTGTTTCCACATGTTCTTTTATAGGAAATGAGATTAAAATACAACTGCTTCGATAGTTCTTTGCGACTGATCTGGCTTTTGATGGCAACTTTGGGCTTAATTAGAGCCAGAAAACTTGTGATGTGCACCCAGCCGTGGCTGTGCAGCAGCAGGCTACGATAATATCTGTTCTTAACCCCCGAGTCTTAAACACTCTCCTCGGGCTAGTTCTGTTCAAATTGCCTGTGGCCAAGGAAAGCTTGTATAATGTCCCAGCCTCCACCAGGTCCTTATCCTGTATTAGATTCACGTCGACGTTACAGCGAAAGAGGGGATAATGAAATGTACCAGGTGATACCCTCTGTAGAAAGTAGGGTTTTTTGCTGTACAGATTGGTGTTATCTCGTCCTGAGGCCACAATTAAGGCTACGCAAGACCTTGTTAAAAAAAACCCCAGACTTTGTGTCTATTCAACATGTTAAATCCTTTTTTATCTGAAACAGCCTACTTTGTTCTCAAAGCTCTCAAAAACTAACTCACTGGACTCACTTCACCTTGTCGACGTTTAGACTCCGTTAACTTTCAGTCACTTTACTGGATTCTTCTTTAAATATAGCAACGCTCTGTAATGTTGTGTTCATTCTGTTTTGCTTTGTAATCTCGTTAACTCTCATACAGGCGATGAGCGCTTCAATTTAGAGATGAAATGATTAGTTGAGAGACAGAAAAATGTCTGCAAAAATGCCAAAAATACTTCCCAGATGTGTGTATTTGCTGGTTTTCTGGGTCTTATTTGGTGTTAAACCAAGGCTATGTTCACACTGCAGGCAAAAGTATCCCAAATATGATATTTTTGCTCATATGTGAATCTTTTCTGCGTTGGGCCACTTTCATATGTGGTCCAAATCAGATACAGGTCTCATTTTTTTAGACTAGATCAACGTTGGTCACAATTCTCCACAAAATAAAATTGAAATTTGTCTCTCTCCTCATCTTCATCCGCTCACAAATTCCCTGGCTTCCACTGAACTTCAACTGAAAGATTTAAACCGTACTTCGCCTCCATGTTTTATTCCCGTACAACAATGACTGTGACCTGTTCACATTGAAATCTTATGCAACATAGATAAATACATTTCTAACATAAATAATGTGGACAGCCAAATTTAAAAAACAACCTGAGCAATAAATCTGAATTGTGCAATAAGGCTTGCAGTGTGAATGTAGCCTTAATATCTTTGGTTTTTAACTGTTAGTCAAAGAAAATAAAGCTAATTGTGCTGGGCAATTATTAAAATACAAGTATGCGTACACTTATTTATTGCTGCTTCACACAGTCAGATGAAGAGTATTTTCTTTATTTTTTCATTTAATTATCCTGTCAGCCAATAATCTTGAAAGTAACTGTTCCAAACACAGTCGGTCCTATCATTCTAAAGCTTATAAAGCATACGGTCTACACTTGCTCTGTATGAAAACTCTCTGAGATAACTTCTGTTATGATTTGACTGAATCTAACTGAACTCAACTCACTTCAAACCTATAAAGTCTATGCACATGACATTACCATAATGCAGGAGTTGGAGCGGTTCACTCTTCCCTCGGTGACAAACACAAACATTCTGCATGAAAACGTGGCTACAATCCTAAAGAGCTGCGCTACAATGGACAGTAAATATATTCCCATACATACATTTATACTGACCGCTGCAGGCTGCCTGTAAAGCCAGAGAAGAGAAGCTTAATGGATCTTTTTTTTTTTCCATTTTGGATCAAGACAGTGGTTCTCAACCTTTTAGAGTCGCAACCCCCCCCATCCAGAATAATTGGTCTACTCAGTGATTCTATCTTAATTGCTTTTCAGCTGCTCTCTGTGCGATTGTTTAATACAAATAAGGTCCATTAACCTATTTCAATGACAACAGGCCTCCAACTCTCTGGTATGACAGCTGTCCTTAAATAAAGTTTATCATCATTATTCCCATTCACAGCAGCCAGTGGCGGTGAGGGGCTTGTACTAAAAAGTGGCATCTATGCATGATTTACAGACCCTGGGTTAAATAATTCAGATGTTTTAAATCAAATACAAATATGTTATAAATTCATGTTTCGGATTTTGGATTTGTCACTTCATTTGGCTGGAAAAGCATCAATACAACATGTAACGCCAGAATGCCATTTAGGCTAATCTGCAGCATTTCAGTTAACGCCGTTCTGTTGTAGCCCCACTTACTCACACAAACAAAAACAAAAAAGCCTTTTTAAAGTGCATCTTTGAGGCATAGAAAGCATCACATTGCCATTTAAGGAAAAACTTTTGAGAGGGTGAGAGGGTAGTGGACAGGGCGGATAAGCTCTCGTTAGGATGCCATCGTGGCTCTTACCGAAACCAGCCCCCGTCTCTGCCGCAGAGCGATGGCGGAGGACGAGGAAGCGGAGCGGAGTGAGGCTTTGCGCCCCAGCAGGCGTGCTGACACATGGCTGCCTGCCTGCCTCGCTCTCAGCTGCAGCGCCAAGGTCAGCCAGCCTCTCGTGTCAAAGTCCACCATGGAGCGCCGCCTCGGAGAGAAGAAAGAGAAACAGTTCAGCTGAGTTTTAATGCCGTAATTACACGAGAACATTTCTTTACGCTTAGCCTGTAGACGAGTATCCAAACCCCGAAAAAGATGCAAAATAAAATCATTCTGTTATTAGACTATGTAAAAAAAATCCCTCACTACAAGGTCCATTTCGTTGCTGTTCTAGAGCTTTTGGTCACATCACATGATCCTCATCTGCAGATTGAGTTTTCCTTTGAATTTCCATGTTTTTCTGAGCACTTTAAGTGTTTCTCAGCCATGTTGAAGATGATATGATAGCACTGAAAGCTGCAGAACAGCTACTAAATGGACCTTGTGGTGAGCTCTTTTTCTCAGTTGCTGTTTCCAAAGGTCAAGAATGAAGCCAAAGTGGATGAGAACTCCCTTAGAAGTGCACAGAACAAATCTAATCATCTACAATTCCATGACAACTGACATCGAAGTCCATCTGCTGACGAAGATCATCCGATATGCTTGAACGCTCCAGAACAGCTGCTAAACTGACCTCATTGTGAGATTGTTTTCACAGCTAATTCTCTCAAGAAAAGGTAGAATATTTACCTTGAAGTGGAGAAGTCCTGCGAACCTTTCAAAACAGCACATTCAAATGGTTTTAACTGATCACAGTTCAATTTCAAGTACAAGGTGTGCCACATAAAAACATGTTTAATTTTCATGAAACAGCTTCTGACATAGTGGAAAAAAACTAAAATATCTATTGTGGTCATTTAAAAAAAATCTTAAAATCTGGATTTTTTTTTTTTGGGGGGGGGGACATGAAAGAATTGTGCTTACTTGTCTTTCTACCACCACAACTACAAACCTTTAACTATCTCTCTCCAACTGCACAGACAGGTTCAATATTAATCACAATACGACTTCTTTCAAAGCTGAAGGCACCTGTGTGTTACCTTTTCTCGTCTATTCTTTCAAAATAGTCACTGCATGTTTTACGATGAACCGAAAGTAGAAAAATAAAGGGTGTGTCTTCTGACTCTAATATAAGGTAGTGGGAACGTTCCTTTTCGTAGGTCATATTCCTGATTTCAGAGAGCTGCTCTGACTGCCATCCCTCGAACACCGTCAGCGGTACGAGAGTCCTGACCACTGCAGGCGGCAGACTCGGATGCTCCCGCGCTAATCTTGAACTCAAACAGCTCAGACGGTGAAGAGGTTCGAGCTCCATGTCTTCGTGGCGAGTTCCGCTCCAAATGTACCAACGGGAGGAAGTCTCAATCTCGGTGGGCTCCGGAGCAGATGTTGTCCTCGATCACCGACGCTGCTCCCAGGTCAGCTCCAGAGGCAGATGTTGCTCATGGCCTGGCAGGTGGAGCTGCTCTCTGCAGGAGAGAGGTAGATCTTGCCACTGGGGCAGACGCACACCTCGTACACTGCCAGTTCCTGGGAGGCCTGAGTGGGCGACGCCGTGTAGATGCCGAGCGGGAGGCTACCCAGCTGAATGGTGTTGGCGTCTAAAAGTATCTGGGAGGGAAAAGAACATCAGAGACGCGCTGGAAGTCATTCAAATAACATCGCCGGAGGTGCCCTGAAGTGATGTATTACCAACTGGAACTGATAAATGAGTGTGGCAGTCAGTAAATACAATGCGACAGGTGGAGTGAAAGACAGCAGCACTGATCTGGTGAGCTAGGATAAGCAGTGAAGGAAATAAATCTCTCTATTAAACCGTTTGATTTGGAACATATACTAATAATTGCTCATTTTTAGCCATGCTCGCTGTAAGGGATGGCAATGTAAGTCGGCTGGGTCCGCCACTGGATTGGATGGATTACAGTGAAATCTCATTCAGACATTCGTGCCCCCCCCACTCCCCCTTCAGGATGAATTCTAATAACTTTGGCGAACCCTTAACTTTTTTTATCTGTTGCCACCATCTGGTTCAAATTTAAAATTTGTTCAATACTTTGCTTTACAACCAAATAAGCAACACAAAAAACATTGACATTCCCATCAGCCTCAGCGGTACTTTGTGTTTAGTGGTAATTAAAAAGATGGTGAACATGGGAAACATTATAGCTGCTATCAGTGTGTCATTGTTAGCATGGTGGCATACTGACGTTAGCATTTCATTCTTGTTAAATGAATAGTTATATGAACCTATTGTAGGTCAAAATTATTTACAAATAAATAACGGCATGAGAGAGGAACTCTACACCCCCTGCGTAACATCCTCACCTCTCCCTCTGTGGACTCCAGCTGCAGGTCCTTTCGCCCGCTGACCTTCAGCGGCCCCTTGGCTGCGCTCACTTCCACCCCTCTGGGAGCCTCCATGGTCAGGGTCCGCGTCGGAGACTCCAGCCTGATGAGAAAACGCGAGCTCAGAGATTCAGCGGGTGTGAGTTCATTGATCACTTCTGTTCGCACTTTCAGGATGTTTGCTTTATAGCAACTTTTGCCCTTCAGTACGATTTGACAGCTGATGCTACGAGATGTGTTCATGGATAAATTGATTGTTACTCAGTTCATAGTTTATGGTTATCCCTGTGTAATTACTTGTTTAGGGCAGGGTGATGAAATTCAATCATATTATTTGTTTCACAACAGACCCCAGGCAGAAAGGCATTTAAAAGTTAGTCAAAATGTTTGACGTTTCTTGAATTTCCCTCGGGATAAATAAAGTATCTATCTATCTATCTATCTATCTATCTATCTATCTATCTATCTATCTTTGAGAAAAAAAACCCATCTTATTGATATTTCTGTATGACTCCTGCAGCATAAATGTATTTTAGGTGTTAGTTATACCGACGACATCTCCACCTGTGGAATATTAAAGCTGCCGTTCATGTTTAAGCAGCTCTTCTCATTATTCTAATCCAGTATGGCTCCTAAACAGCCCATAATTGTACCAGCTGATTTTGACCTTCAGCAACACTGGGGCTAATGCAATTTGCATTTTCCTCCTGTGGACTATTTGTTTACACGGGGAAAGATAAGTGTGAGAGCCAATCAATGTGGAATTTGTTTTCATAACTCATAACCGTTTCAAATTGATCCCCCCCCCATCTTCCCCAAATCTGTTTTCAATGAATTTTAAATGGAAGACTTTAAGGAGCCATCTTGAAATCACTTAAATCTCCATACCCTCTGAAAGTGACACACATTTCGGATTATGCACTATTGGAATAAGGGGGAGGGGGAGAAAAGCAAATGAATTTCATCTGCATTTGAAAAGCCTCTTTGACTTTAAATCAGCTTTCAGTAGATACAGTTTGGAGAGGATCTGTGAAATGTGCCTTTGACCTGCGACTGGTTATGCCCTAGACCTGTGGAAAGAGATTGATGTCTGCTCGGTTGTTGTTTTCTTTTTACTCTTCCACAGCTATTTATTCTTTTCTCTCTTCTTTATTTTTGTTTTTCAGAGTAAAAATGTTTTTGTGGATAAGTGATAAGTGATTAATTCATTGTAAAAAATTGTTAGCATATTTTACTTTTTTAATTTTATTATTTTTAAAAAACATCCTCAGTCCATCTCCCATAGCAACACAACATTCCGTTTCTTCTCCCGACCCCCAGCCGTTCATTAGCGCGCCACAAGAATCTGTGTTCGAGTCCTCCTTAGCTTTCGCAATAATTATTTCTCAACCATCATCTGATTATCTGTGGCTTGGATTGACGAGTCATTAAAAGACCAATTTAAAACACTCTGCACTGAGCTGTGCAGTAAGAAGTTAGTGATATGTGATGCGTCTGTGATTGTTTCACTCCATTCTGTCACCACCCGCTGCGCCGCGCACACGCACACGCACACACAGCTTCGCTGATTCTGCCAGAAGACAAAGTGCTAAAATTTCAGAGAGTGCTTGTTTCAGCACAGTTCAAAATAAAGCATTAAATAAATTAAATTAAATTAAAAAATGTCTCTTGGATTTTATAACCATCTCAAACTGCTTCTATTTTCATGTACTGAACGCTTATGGCCTAGTTCCTGGGGCTCCAACAGCAGCATGAAGCCATTTCAACTTACTGCTGACGGGTAAACATTACATTACAAGTTAAATTAATATAATTTAAGATACATGGAACACATGAAATTTGTGAATCATTCAACTGCTGTTTCCACGGTGAAGAATGAATTCCTCTTTTAAAGCCAACAAGGACAGAAGTCTCGACAACTGAACAAACTAAATAGCATGCGGTATCATTGAGAGCCTCAGAGCAGCACCGAAAAATGTTGATTTGTAGATGGATATCTTTCAGTTCTGCTAACATATCGCCATTATATTAATTAAATATTAACTGTATGCTTGCCTGTAGAAAGATTCTCAGCTGCTATCCACTGCCTAGACTACTAATTTGGCTCTAACTCATGGAAAAAGGGGGACAGTGTTCACTTCTTTTCAGAAACCTCCTACGTGAATCTACAGTTACATTACCTGTCAGTCAACTTCTAGGAAATGGTTGGAAAACTGTGGGACCCGTAACGTGTTATTAAGACTATATTTAGTTTGTTTTTGAACATCACAATGTCCAAAAACTTTTAGTTTCCTGAACAAAAGCGCCATCTTTTCCCCCAGTAAGAAGCCAGTTGTTCCCTGAATATTTCAGGGCTTCTGGCTCCATCCAGAAAACTCTGATATGTAAAGCCCTCACTACAGATAACCTATGTGGTATTTGCAGTCATATCGGCTGTTGACGACAGGCTCTCTCCCATTCTCTGGGAAATCTGACCAGCTTTTCTTGCTGCATTCAGGTTGACCTTTACATCCACGGAAAGGTCATCGCATTGCAGAGCTGTACAGGACCAAATGTGCTGATGGCCATCTCTGAAGTCGCAGTCAATGAGGGGGGTTTTAAATACTGCATATCTACTGTGGTAGCTGAGGGGATTCCAAAAGGTGAAAGCCGAGTTTATTTTTATATTCCACTATCACATACAGTCTCTCAGTGGGGCTGTACAGTGTACAGACCCACAGCAGCACTTCCACACTGGGTACGTGTTCTCTAACTAGTCTGGGGCATAGAAAGCAATCTCAGTCTAAAAATACAGAACCTGAATAGCACTACCTTTGCAGTGACATCCGCCAGCAAAGCTAGATATATAATGAATATAACGAGCCTTCAGACTCGGCTTTACTTTACTTTACTTCACTCGACATTACTTAAAAAGGGCCAATTTGTCATTTTTATCTTTATGTTTATTCTGTTTTATCTAAATATTCTGTCTTCTTTCATTGCCCTCTGTGTCCTTTATATCTTGTCTTAATGCTTTTTGTTGTTTAAAAGTTGTAGACGAATAAACCTGCCTTGGCTTCCCCTATCAAGTGCAGGTTTATTGGGATATATCATCAAAGAGTTGGATGTACAAATGTAAAAAAAAGTTTTTGTGGTTCTTGGTTGAAGCCTGCTGAGTCCTGTTTTGATGGTATCATTTAAGACCGTACTATAGCTCAACCAATACAGGACTTTTAAGGCCAACATTAACTTAAATATTAGATACATCAAACATAAAAAACAATATGTTTAAACAAGCTCTTTATCCGTTGCGCAAGCTCGCATAAAACTATGAACATCAAGTAACGGCATGACATAAAACCATCCAGCCATCAACGTCTATCCATCAACGGTCAGCATCAAAACCTGAGAATCTTTTCTTTGTCTTTTATGACAGTTAATGTCATGTTTTTTGAGGTTTTGGACTGTTGGTGAAACAAAACGAGACATCTGAACAATACACAATAACAAAGAACCACCATATTTCCCTGCTGCAGCCAAAGCTAAAAAAGAAACAAAGAACACACTCAGGCTGCACAACATCTCAATCCCACAAAATTGTTGGGAGAAAAGTCTGACCAGAGCTAAGTGGGACCAAGAAGAGTTGTTCTGTTCTGCCTTTATCTTCTTAATGAACCTGTCACTCTCGCGTGGACACTGCCACTGCAGAGGCTGTCCTGAAAATTGTGCGGCTCAACTTGAGAGGAGTATGTGGCTGGCCGTGCTGCAAACAGACTTTAAACCTGAAGAGGAGGAGAGCTCTAGTAGCAGAAAGTTGCAGCGAAAAAAAATCAAATGAAAAGCTGTTTTCCTGCTCTCTGATACTGGGCCTGGAAATGTACCATGTGATGTCTGCAGTGTACAAGAGCAGAGAACCTTCAAATCCAGTCTGCCTTTGCTTATTAATGTCAAACTTGCCTCACTTCAGATTCCCATGTGCTTTTTAAGAAGTAGTTTTATATACAGCTTGCAAAAAAATTGCAAAAATTCTTTGTTCTTGACACGATTGAGACCTGGAGATTTTCTGTCGCAGTGATCAGACGTCCATCCACCATCCGTCCCCCATACACGTCAAGAGAATCGAAGTCTTTCTGAATGTGAACAAACTAGATGACAGGAGTATCACAGTGAAATCATCAGTGATACCACGTTGCAAACCGAGCTTCACAGCATTTATCACGCAGCTTCCCCCGGCCTGTTCAGATGGATTTGGGACATCAGGAATCAGAGCACCATCCTCTAGAGTGGGATACAAAATGATCCGATTATGTAATTGACAGAAATATTTTCATATTTAGGCCTGTAATTTCTGGTTGGAAGCTGCAGCTATTATCGCACTGAGTGGGCAGCCAAAAAAAAAAAAAAAAGAATCCTCTAAGGCAAATTTCCGGGAATTAACTATCTTGATTTCTTGTTCTCAAAAACCAGCACCGGAGGGGTATTTTGAGAGTGAAACTGAACCGCAGAGGTGACTGTCAGGTGAAGGAGCTGATCAGAGCCTGACAAGAGCTATGACTAAAAGGTAATGAAGCTGTGAGAAGCGAGCAGGACGTGACAAACTGACACGTCTCTCCTGCAGGACTATATCCACTTTATAACTGCACTGTCCTTGTTTTAGAGACCTCAACATGAAGGTCTCTATTCCTGATAGCTCCTCAGCACAAGTGCAATTATTCACGAGTCGCCATGCAGAGACACGTTTCCTAGTTTTTGGGGAGCACAGCTGACAGAGAGGATGGACTGAGGAGGAGAAAAAATAAAGTGAAATATAAGTCGTAGAGGGACCAAAACAACTAATGGACTATAAATCAGTCACTCTACTTAACTGTTAACCTCCTGCACTCCTGTCTTTGTATTATAAAATACACACTTCACTTAAAGCCAAAACAACTACTTGATTAATCTTTTAGTCAAGTGACAAAAAAATAAAGATTCTTGTGTTTTAGATTTGAAGACATCACCTCGGCGAGTGGGAAATTAGTAATTGTAATTGATTAATGGAGGAGATGATCATTAGCTGCAGCCCTACATTTCACACACTTTTTGCTGCGACAGAGGAAATAACAGACATAAGAGACCTTACCCACCATCCGATTTCGATTTCATTACATTTTTAATTGCAACTTTTTGTCTCCTGACTTCATGGTGAGCATTTTTCTGTCAATACAGTATCTCAGTACATTTTACAGTTTTCCTTGCATCATTTTGTGTATAATAAATGCTCATAATTTATATAATATTGTAGTTTTTTTTAAAGTCACCAATCTATACAATGCCTCTGTCCTTGTGCTTTATCTACTGCTAATAGTTAACTTGCACCAGCAATCCTTCATATAACAGTACCTCAATATTAAAACTGAGTCTACATGAAAACAAGACGCAAACCAAAAACTGGAAAAGGTTTGTGACGCACCCAAAATCCTGGTTTAGACCCACTTTAAGCATTTTGTATTATCCTGACATTAATGGGAACACAATCAAGTGAAATACAGTTTAAACTCAAGTGTTTTTAGAGTCTTCACATTTTTTAGACTTATTTGAGCACAATTATAGCATACGGCAAATATTTAAATAATGCGTGTTTGACCAGCACCTATACTGCTCTGCAGAGGATTAGTGGGTTTCCCATTGAATCTGCATCCCTCTGAAACAGCATTCAGCTGTTCTTGTGCAGAATAACCCAGTAGAAATATAAACCTGTACACCTACAGCTCACAAGCCTTAATAGGGTAAAACTACAGGAGAAAATGGAAGCAAACACTGACAATTAGGTGCACAAGTAAACTTTAAAACACTAAATGTAAAATGTGTAATTAAATGCCAATGGAATCATTATACTCAGTATATTCAGTTATTCGGAAGCAGCATGATGATGACAAATATAGACAAACTTGAGTGTGAGTGTACACAGATAAAGCGCTCGGGGAGAAGAACAGGTGCTTCAAAGAAAAGGAAGATCTCAGGTGGGTTTCTTTGATTTCGTCTCTGCTCTGTTCTTCTCCCAGATTACTGTTGGCATGCAGAGAAATAAAACACATCACAAAGAGGAAGATACTTCTTTAAAAGAGGAAAAGAAGGGCGACATGGACGTGAGCCAAGCCGTATCTGTACCGTCCAGAGAGGTTTACTGACAGGTGCCGAGTGGTTTGCAAAGAGGATTTGACTCACACTTTCAGGGTGGTGGGGAGATGGGTAATCTTTATTTCAGTAAGAATCAGTCTTTTTCTGGTACTGTCGCCCTCATTATACAGTGTGATGTCATCATATCGGATGATAAATTCGATTTACACTTGTGTAATCAATCAACAGGCTACTCCGGCTCATAATTTACTGTCTGGCTTTATAATGAAAAAGTGTCTGCTTTGGTACCATTAAAAGGAACCAGAGCTGAAAGAGAGTTGTCACAGGTAGTGCTGATTTTCTGCTCCATGACAGTGACTGGATCTTCATGTCAAATCATATTAAAGAGGAAGTAATCTGCCAGAAAAGGAAAAGAACTACTAACTGTACGGCCTGTCGTCTGACCATGTTGGAGGGCAAAAGTTTATAGTTGTTCCGAACTAACAAACTCGAAGGTGGAGATGCAATATTGTTTAAATATGGGAATAACTGCGCACATTTCACACAGATTCTCCCTGAAGCCATTTATAGTGTTGCATTCTTTTTTTACACATTGAAAGTTGTGTAAAAATACCATGTGGTCGGATTGTCGGTCAGACTTTCCTCTAATTTTTTCTTTTTTTCCAGGCTATTTTCAATGAAATTATCCAGATAAAGGGGTGGAAATCACTGTTTGGTTGAACTGATCACAACTGGCATATGAAACAGGTGACGACTGGTCGGCATGACTCTTTTTAATGAGTCCCAAATCGTGACGTTGAGAAGCTCTGGCCTAACTGCATTAAAAAAAAGCACAACGGTTCAATTTCAGGGGTTGGCAATCACCCCCTCCAATGGCTGAATGTAACTTGTCTCAAAACTCAGGTCTGAAATTGGATTGGGAAATAATATTAACATATTTTGTTCAGAGCACACAGGATGAATGCAAAAATGCTAAGGAGTCACTTTCTCAATTCATAGAAGTGATAGGGTCCATATAAAACCACATTTCTTTGACATACATGCAAGTTTATTTCCCTGAACTTTCCCTCTGATTATTGCTTATTAAGTCAAGAATATCTAAACTTATAGAGAAATACTTTTTTGGGGGGGGTTAAACTCTAGCCTGCTTTACTTTTTTAGAATTTACAAGCTTAAGAATTTAAATAATCAAACTCCCAATTTATGATACCTTACCTTGCGATAAGACAAATTACATCATTCAATAAAAATCTGAAACATAGAATTCTGAAAGTGAAATTCACAGCCAAGAACCATTACTATGCAGAGAATGTGGTTTGGGTAAAATGCAAATGAGAGGGGAAAAAAGACATCTAGGCATGTATTTAAACTGAACAAAATGTTGCTGGAAAGGTTGGAGTCTATCAAATTTACATTACATATAACCTTTGTTTCACTATATATTAACATATCACATGATATGGGGCAATCCCTTATTGATCCAACAACAATATAGTACCACTGCAGTAATGGCAGCCTGTGTACTTTGCCCACAGCCAAATTAGTCTATACACAGACGCTAAGAATGTAAAAAACAACATCATAATGATTTTAAAAAAAAATGTTGTTAGGCTTGAATTCATATCATTAATAGCCAACATGATTGAGTTTTCTCCATTTTGCTTTTTTTTAATACTACTGTATGAAGATTCTTTGACATGGCGTTTGGAAAATAAATTGGGTTTAGATAAAAGGAACATTTATTTAAAGTCCTGACAGTACAGTTTGTACATCTTGCTTTGCAGCTTGTTTGGAAATATTTCAGTGAGGGAAGCCAGTCATTTCTGAAGCAGCCTGAAAAAAAGATGGATTTTCTTTTTTAAATGTTGTTTGAAATATGATTTAAATGAAACCCCACAAACAGAATCAAACTTTGACAATGCGTAAATTAAACATCTTTGATCAAATATGCATTTAAATAGAGGAAAATCTGAATCCCATTGAAAGCAAACAACATGTTGGAGCTTTTTGAGGTTTTAACTGTCTCCCGTTCGGTTGCCTCTTGTTAAAATTTTGACCACATTGCAGATGGTCACCCCAGAGCTGAGCCTGTGTGTGTGTGTGTATGTGTGTGAGTCCTGTGTGTGTACGTGTGCTTGCTTTAAAGTGAACCTCATCAGTATTCCTCTCACTCTGGAGGAATTAGATGCCAGAACACTGCTTTTTCTGCCAACTTTGATCCCAGCGCTCCCTTCAGGACCAGTAAGGTGGACAACAAACCAAACTCGTTATAGCTCGTTAATGGACCGACACAGGGCTCAGAGCCTCAGGCGGAGTGCAGTGGGGATCACATGCACGGGCGTGTATGGGTCTAATAAGCATCTCAACCTTACCCACTTTCTCCATGCTCTCTCGATGCTTTAATCAATTCCTGACTGCTATAGAGAATAACTAACAAATTAGCTCATCCCTCGGCTGTGAAATTAATATAATGGTCAAATCTAGTTTTAAATTTGTGTGATAACGAGCCCTACCAGTAGTAGTTAACAGGACGGTGCTTGAGAATAATGATACTGGTAAATAATGGTTCCTGCCACGTGTTTTTTTTTTTTTTTTTTCACACAGCGTATGCATCGACTTTGAAATGCCATGGAACATTTATCATCATCATTTAAAGATCTTCATTTTAATTGAACAGGATATGAACATGTGACATTAAGCTTTAATGAATTTCTGTAAAGTCAATGAATATGAACTTACTTAAGGTCTTCAGAAGCCCTCGCCCGGATCAGGGGAGTTTCTACTGAATGTCCAAACACGGCGCCTTCTGAGCCTGCCGATAAAATGTACTGTTATGATTCACAAAAGTCCAGCCAACATTTACTGAGGCTTAGTATCAAACCTCAATACTTTTTTGGCACTCAGTATCAAAAACTCTTAGTTCAGTTCAAACGAACTCTGGAACTTCTCCTACTATGACGAGTCAAATGTCTGTAAAAAAAGGAATATTTTTTCTGCTCTGGTGTCCCAAAGAAGAGCTCTTGAAGAAACAGGCTATGAGCATCATTAGTCGAGACTGCTGGAACTCATATGTGATGACTGACAACTAAATACAAGACGGAGGGGACAGTCACTGTGTGGCCTCCACATTTCACTTTACTCACGTTTTAATGGGGAACTGCCAAAATACACACCTTTGTTTTCACTCCTTTTCCCTTTCTGGGAATATCCTTGCAATTAAAATTCAGATGCTCGTTACTATGGTTACCATCTCGATTGCTTTCCCGGCAGTCCCCGTGGTCAGCACATGGATCGCTGTCAATTTAACTTTAGCTTATGAATTCCCGCTTAAATTGTGCCATCACAAACGTACATGGTTAGTCTATTCTGAATTTAAAAGCAGGAATGAACAGCACTGCGATCCGTTTTTGAGTTCGCCCCAGAGTTCGATTGACAGCTTTCTCATCAGCCTCTTTACATCTATCAATAAAATTGAGGCTTCTGCGATATGCATATTGCACGTGGCCGCTTTTGCAATTTGCAGTCGTAAAGACAACATATAACATTTGATAAGTTTGGCTTTTGTTTTGTTTTGAACAGATTTACATTTCTCAGACATCAGTAGTAGAGAATAGAGAGTAGAGTATAAGTTGAGAGTACAGCATATTTTACCTGTGATGGTGAACTTTTCGGTTGTCATAATGACCTCCTCCTCATTTGCGGTGAACAGCAGTCTGCCTCCATCTTTACTTCGTACCTCCAGCCTCTGACACTGGGCCTCCACAGCTTCAGGTCCTGCAGAGAGAGAGAGAGAAACGTCCAAACTGGAGCTTCTGGCTTTCACCAAAAAAAAAAAAAACCCCACTACAAACACTGCTGATTGCACTTAAGCAAGGTGCTGGGCGCTGAGAACTCAACCTATTTGTATTGGTTTAGCATTGTTCAATATTTTATGAACATTTGCAGGACTACATTTATTTTAGTTTGATAATTAAAAAGGATTAAAGAACAGCTTTCCAGCTAAAAAGTTGTATTAGTCTGCACTGCTAACAATAATGTTCTTTTTGTAAATGATACTGTCAAATAAAGGTTGCCTTGTGTTTCTCTGGCCTTGCAAATCAGCTTTGGGAAACTATGTTTGGGCATGTAAGACTATTAGCAATCTGAAATACTGTGTGGAGTGCTTGCTCTGCAAATGAAAGGCGTCTAACAAAGCTGGATAAGCCATGCTTTTACAATGGATGAAGACAAATCAGTAATCTGTTCCGCTGGTGAGGAATATTAATTCCCGTTCTCCAGACTTTGGTGTTTTTCCAGATGTGCATGCAGAAACTTTTAACGTCTCCCTTTCTCGTGCTCCCCTCCTCTCTCTTCCATTAATCCACGGGCTGCGACGGCTGGGGAATTTAATTATTCTCGCCAAGTTTCATCTCATTCCAGACAAAATGCAGTTTCTACAAAAGCAGGCACTAATTTTCGGAGGAAGGTCAAGCGTGACCAAAAAGTGTCATATCACCAGTCTTGTCAAATCAGCATCAACTCTCAACTTATGTTGGCTAAGATCAATAGCTATTAATGTTAATAAGCAGGTCATTTGCTTTCCAGTGGTCATTAATCATGTAAATGACTTTGGTAATTTGGACTGACTGATGGTTAAACTTTCTGATAATAAGAAGAATCCATTGTCCTTTCAATAAGTGCATCAAAGGTTAGTGTCTGTAAGAGAAAAAAAAGTATTTTTAAAGGCACTGAGACGATTAAAGAGAGTTTAAAGATGAATTGTTGCGCTAATCTTGATTAAAGTCATTAACAAAATAAGATTGATCAGGCAATTTACAGCCAAGGCCAGATTAATCTACGATCACTTTTAAATAAGTTGTTTGTAGAAAGAGAAATAAAGGCGGAATCTAAGTGTAAATAAACCAGTAGCACATAACTTTAAGTGACACAAGGGCAAAAAAACAGTTCAACCACAGTTTAAACAACCGTTAGGCCACAAAATGATGTAACGGTACACAGTACGCATCTCCCATCAGCTGTTGAAGGCAAGTAGTGATTTATTATCCCAAATGAAATGGCTTCCCAATGAATGTTTACAGTAGTAAAAACTAAAGACTCACCCACTGTGAGCTGCCCAGTCAGCTGGCCTTGGTCGTTCCTGACGTTCATCGTTACGTTCTTTTCTGATCGCAAGACCAACAAGCTGTCCTAAGGGAAGCATGAATGGGGAAGGAGAAAGACAGAGAGGGCGACAAAGAAAGAATAAAAGAGAAAAATTTTATTAGGATCCTAAATCTGATATTGGGATCCCTTTAACGGGAGGGAGAACCTTAGCTTTGTGAATTCTAATTTGTTATGATCCCACTGGCTTATTTAAACTTGGGTCTTATTTTAGCCATCATTAGAGGTCTAAGCAGTGAAGCTTGCTGCCTTCTTGTTTTTCTCCACTAAAAGTGCTCGTACAGCAAAAACCGTAAGACCAAAAGTCACCAAAAGTTCACCCACTTCTCATTGACCTTAAAGTGGTGCTGTAACAATCAAGTTTACGTTATCTCAATTATCTTGAAAGCAGCTTGGTTTAGAGTCATTAGTCACCTTAAGTTGTTAAAGAAATGTCAATATGCCAATCCATTTCGATTTTACAAGCCCCATCAAAATAGGTACATTTGATAATAATAATTGTGTACCTACGTCAATGCAAAGAAGGCTGTATTGTAATATAAAAAACCCTTTCCAAGCGAATATTTCCTAGATATAAAACACTGAATTACACCACATTAAGACTAAAATGGAACGAATTAAAACTAAATTATCCAAGGATGAGTAATGAAGTGTAGGTAGAGTCTGAGGAGAAGGGGGTGGCAGGGTGGTTGAGCTGAAAATGTGTATTTTCCATCACTGACAGGCGTAGGTGTGTCCTTTCTTCACTGCAGACATTTTAACTCTGGACCTTTTCTACTTTCTGGCAGTTTTGCATTTTGCAAGTTTATGGCTGTTTGACATTTGAATGATGGCACACGTGTGTAACTGCGTGCATGCTGAAAAGGCTTGCGCTCCATGCAAACGGTTTTCCCTTTGTTTTGTAGAGATTCTAGTAGGCTGTGGATGTTTTGCAATATGATAACAGCATTGTTATCATATGCAGTAAATATGCAGTGAGGTACCCAGTAAATCCACCATACTAAGGGTTCATGTATGTATGCATGAGTCAGAGGCTTACAGCAGTGTTTGTGTACATAGCAGCAGTAACTGTGAAAATGCAGCTGCTGAAAGTATTGCTTCTTGATGTCTCTGGATCACATCTGCTTGACCAAACGTTTGATGTGCTGCAGCTTTGTTGTATATAATGTTAGTATACGCTCTAATTTAACTGTGTAATAATGATTGAGTGGGAATGAGTTTATTCTTATGACGAGTGGTGCTGAAAGCTTGGCGACATAATGAGGACTTGCACTCTTGGTTGATAACATGACAAATTTTTTTAGCTATAAATGCTCCACTATTACTGAGTGGTGTTTGTTGCATACAATTGGTTCATCAGTTTTATGTTGGTACTGAAAACAGCTACATTCTGTGTCTATACTTATGAGAAAGGTGAGAAGTAAACCAACAGTAAAGTTGCAAACTGTAAATCCAAAACAATGAGCTGAAAGATGCTAAAATGCACTGTAGAACTGAGGGGTGACAATTCTCTGTGGGTTCATTACCACGAATAACCCCTTTCACATTACACAGTCATTTGACCTATTGTAAACATAAAAGTATCAATGATAATGATTAATGATGATGTATAAAACATTTTTTAACCCAGCACAAAAGCGCACAGCTAACTCACTGATGGTGCACGCTGCTGTTGATTTGAACTCCCAACCCCCTTATATCTCACAATGTTCAGTTCATGTTAATGTTTCTTACTGTTGGATTATTTGTAATTAAAAGTGACATTTGTTATGCATTTAGTCATAGTTTCACATTTGAGCTAATAACTATGCTGTGATGCAGTCTAATAGGTTTGATTAACTTCATGCTCTCCCAAAAGAGGCGTTAAATTGTAGCAGATCAGCTCAAGTTTGTGCGGCGTGTAACTTTGCAGAGGTCAGTCGGTTCATTTTCATTCCCTGCTTGCTCCTCCCCAATAGAAATGTGCATCATGAATGGAGGTTTGCCAGAAAGCACAGCATCATGAAGAAAATTTGAGTTCCTCATTTGAAGTATCCCTTTAAAGACTTTATAGGTCTTAAACAGTTTCCTGGGGGGCCATGACTGAGATGCTCCTGCTCTCCTCAACACTTCTTTGGGATCACATAAAAGGCTTTTTAGTCACTGCGCCTGTTGAGGAAGGTCAAGTGCAGATCAGAGTGAATGCACATAAATGGAGCCCGTTGTTGAAGGTGCAGTGGGCCCCGTCAGACTGAAAAATTACCATGGCTGCTGTAAGGCAAAGGATGCTTCCCTGCATACAATGAATAACATCATAGCTGAAAGTAAGAGCACAGCGCACTGCTTCAATGAACTTGTTGAAAACAAAGTTACCTCATGTGATGCAAATATCTTTCTGAGTGTTAAATAAAATGCCTTTAAAGCATAGATAAAGAGCTCAGGGTTTAACTGTAATCCGAAACAAATATTTGCATAAATATATTTAAATTTTAATTATATTTGATTGTTGTGCTTGAGGCCTATTTGCATACTAAGCCGAACAAGTAAATATAATGAAGAAAACATGTCATAAGTTGAAAAGGTACGCCTATTAAGTCTTAATTTCCTCATTCAAATATCAAATCTTGCAGGAAGGCCCTTTGCATGCAGGGTATAGGCTGTTTTGGAACATGTTTTCAGGCATATTTAATATTTCTCATATTAAAAGGCCCCTGTATTTCAGTGTAATACTGTTAGCCAAATTAAATTGGTTCTAGCAAACTGGGTTTGAAGGATGTTCAGATCTCTGAGGCACTGCTGCAGCTGCAAAAAGCTTTGATTTTAAACTGTGAGAGTTAAACAAGTGGATGGCTTTAGCCCTCATCTGCAGACTTGAATTCAGAACTGGTGCTTACAATCATTTTTGTCGTGCATCTCCAGTGCAAGTAGGTGAGACTCAGTGAGGCGAAAGTTTCACCCCAATAAAGATACACCTGCATCTGATGCTATTTATAGATCATTTAGGGTCCTTGGGGAAAATAACGAGAGCCAACCGTCTGAACAGCTGAGATTTGATAAACTGTATCTGGGCAATGTGTTGCCTCATACCACATTGTTTTTCAGACTAAAGCAGAGAACTAAATTCACAGCAAAGATGCAATTTCAGGGTTTTTACTTCATTTAAAATGGCAATACTAGTGTCAACAGCAAGAGAATAATTGGAATACAACTATAAAGAGTTAAATGTTAAGATAATCAAAACTGGACAATTCTTTATTGGCCATTTCAATCCAATAAAACAGTACATTCTAGGTAATAACCACAGTCAAGTCAATTTTTCTTTAAAAAGTATATTATTGTATACACAAATCCCGCGACTGATTTGTGTGTTCCACCTTCTAGCAGCGCCGCCATTACTGTGGTGGCAAGTCGTAGTGACTCTATATGCTAAACTAATTCATGTTTTTTCTTTTCAGCTTCTCCAGATGTAATGTGTTTGCCATTTCTCTCAACCAAAAATTATATGTGGGTACAAACTAGTTTTTTTCACACTCGCAAGGAATAATAGAGTCTGTGTAACATTTAAACTGTGTAAGACTATGTCTGACATTGACCAAACAATCATGTTTACTCTCAACATTCATTCCAAACCTCGTCATTTTGCTCTACATTCAGCTCGTCCGCCCACATCTGTTAAAATTCTGCTGTGTTGAATAAAGCTCTGTTATGCAAGATCTGATTTTTAAAAAAAGGAAAAAAGCATTGTGGGAAACAGGATCAAATGTATTTATTGCCTCCAGAGACTTATGCTCACCAAAGATGTCAAAGTTAGGCATATACTTCCTGGCATATAGTCTCAAATTTGTAAATCAATAAAAAAAAAAAAAAGAAAAGGTGCAGGGATATTGGAAACTCCTCGTAACACTAAAAAAGGGGCAAAGGTCCCATTGATCACCTATTTTACAGATATCTCTGTTTCCAAGTGGAATGAGGAATGATGTGTCCACAGATTTTTGGAGCCTTACTGTACCATTTTATCTGCTTTTAGATTTTTATAATACTGCCAACTACAAAGCTGTTACTAAAACATCACTTTTAAGAGGAGGCTAAGAGCTTTTTGCAAACCAATTGTTCTATTAGTAACCATGCTGCGCAGGAGTCTGTGGAAAAAACCTTTTTTCCACCTTGCAGGAATTTATAAGTGGGCAGTCCAATAATACATTTAAAAGTTTAGTAGGGTAAACCCACCTGCAGTGTTTTTTTCCCAGAAATTCTGAAGGCTTTATAGCTCCAAATAAGAATCAGCAATAAAACATTGAATTGACTCAAAGAGATGGAAAAAGTGCTGCAGCCCCAACATCTTTATTGTATTGATCTTCCCAACCAGAGATTGGAAGGGTTTTCCAGTGTTACACTTAACTTGCTGAAATTTGATTTGCCAATTCATTCATAGGAGATCATGGGGATTTTCTGTTAAGTCTACGTAAAGATATAAGTTAAGTTATTGTAGGTTATTTAAAAGAAATGAACTGTACATATGTCACATTAACCACTTTAGAAATTGGCATTATTCATACTCATCCTATTTTAAAGACATTACCAAAATTATTCATTAGAGTGAATAGGGGCAGTACGGATGTTCAGGTTTGAGATGTATAAAAGGATGTCATCAGCATATAACGACGTCAATGGGAGATATTAGAGGCTTCTGTTTTATGCTAGCGTCCAATGTTTCATGATAACTAAAAAAGAAAAAGGGAGCGAGGGCTTTATTATTGTAAAAGGAGATTACTTTTTTATAATGCTGTCAGTTAAATGCGTTATTAACGGCGTTAACGCAAACCCATTTTAACGGCGTCAATTTTTTTTATCGCGAGATTAACGTTTGTTTAACTTTGTAGTTTTTTTCACATGCTGTTGCAACAACTAGTAACGTTAGAAAAAGTACAACACCACACCGGATCTAGCTAGACTGGAAACAAAACAACAGGCACGCCGCACACACTTGTTTAAGAGTAGTAGACGTTACGTTGGATGGCGAGCCCGAGACGCCGAAATGGATGCCAATA